CACCCCTCCATCGCCAGTCCATATTTCCCAATACGGTGCTACATTAATTTAACTGAACAATTGTGCGGTCATGCAATGCTGTACGTAAATGAAATTTATGGCATTTTGTCCCCACAAATAGAGCTTTCTTTTGGTTGTATTTGATCACCTCTGCGGTTTCTATTTTTTTGTATTATAAACAAAGACGACTTACAATTTTGGGGGGGGGGGGGGGGGGGGATTTTCTACTCTGTTATAAAACATATTGAAAAAAAAACACAAAAATCCTTTATAAATTTAGACCAAAATGTATTCTGCTACATGGCTTTGGTTAAAAAAACAAAAAACAAAAAACGTGTATATTAGTTGGTTTACATGAAAGTTATAGCATATATGTACTGGAATTTTTTTTTTTTTTATTTTTATATTCATAATGATGGCGATCAGTGATTTATAGTGGGACTGCAGTGAGCATTCTGACACTAACTTGACACTGGATGGGAACTGCCACTGACATCTCTAGTGACACCAATACAGTGATTAGTGCTAATAAAAAGCACTGACACTGTACTAATGACACTGGGCAGGAAGGGGTACCATCTGGAATGATCAAAGGGTTACCTTTCTCATGTTTTGTGCTTACTGTATGGTGTTTTACATTCATGACTAGGGCATTTTTTTTGCTATTCAGCACTGTGCTACTTTAACTGGCAATTGCTTGGTCATGCAACACTGAACATAAATGAAATTTACATAATTTTTAGCCACAAAAATCGAAATTTCTATTGGTGGTATTTGATCACTACTGGGTTTTTAAAATTTTTTATTATATAAATAGAAAGACTGAAACTTACGGATACATTTTATATTATATATATCATTTTTATTTATGAATTGGATCGTGGTAAAGTTATATTGTCTGCAAATTGCGATATATACACCCACTGGTCACTTTATTAGGTACATCTTGCTAGTACCAGGGTTGGACAGAACTGCCTTCTTTCCCATTCTGATGCTTGGTTTGAACTTCAGCAAGTCGTCTTCACCACATCTAAATACCTAAATGCATTGAGTTGCTGCCATGTGATTGGCTGATTAGCAATTTATGTTACCAAGCAACTGAACAGGTGTACCTAATAAAGAGGTCGGTGAGAGTACACTGAAATTTACAGAGCTATACTTGTAATGGTGGCAGCGATCAGTGCCTCATAGCGTGACTGATAGTGTGGTGGGAAATCAGGCACTAACAGATAGCAGGGAGAGACATTGACTGACATGAATATTGCTAGTAACACTAATACAGTGATCAGACATACTGTACTAATTACACTGGCTGGGAAGGGGTTAACATCAAGGGGTTATATTTTATACAGAGTTGTGTGTGTTTGTAAACACAAAAGTCTATGCGGAGATTGAAAATATGTTGATTGCCTGTGTCCAAACAAAAGAATTTGGCTGAAATCTGATGACAAACTCCTGCTGTGTCTAATCTGGCCTGCCCCGCCTGCCAGAAAAACATGTACTATGGGTGGATCACAAAAAGTTATAGCTGAACTCCAAGGTCAATAAATATGGCCTAAATACAAAACTAAATTACTGTACATGCATACTTGAATTTTTGTGTACAATGAGTATTTTGTTGCTAAACTGTGCAGTTATTCAGCATGAACCCAATCCTGCTTTTGTGCAGGCATTTACCATTAAAAAAAAAAAAAAAAAACTAAAACAAAAAAAAAAAAAACCCTCTACACAGCACAGTGATGACCTCACCTGCCTATCTTACCCAAACCAGCTCCTTGTGTCCTCTAACCAGATCAATACAGACTATGTGAACAAAATTGGAACAGGGACAGAGGCCTGTATGGAACCAAGAGGGCTGCATGCAGGAGGGTGGGGACATGCCTTATGGAACAAAATGTATCAAAAGGTACAGTTTTAATCAGATACAATCACTGCTGAACAAGTTAGGCAATATCAATTTAAAAAAATAACATACATGTTCATTGCGTACAACTGCATGACTAGGAGACCTTAAAATGGAGTTAAAGCCCAGCTCCAGGAAACCTAAAAATGATCCTGTAAGGGTTACTTGCTCGTGTCTGACACCCCTGGTCTAGAGGGAGCAAGAAGCACTTTCTGCCACTCCCCCTTGCTCTGCTAGTGGACGCAACACTCAAGCCCAATGCAGAGTTATGGTCCCAGCATTAGTCTTTGATTATGTTAGAAGACCTTAGACCAGCAATGGGCAAACTACGGCCCGGCGGACCTTTTAATCCGGCCCGCGGAGCGCGATACAAAAAAAAAAAAAAAAAAAAAAAAAACAGCCAGGGCAGGCAAACATTTGCATCATTCAGCGCGCTCAAATGCAATGATTGGCCAGTCTCGCTGCCACTCACATCCTGATAGCCAGTAATTGGCTGTCAGGATGTGTGTAGGCGGGGCAGCGTGACGAACGTGAGGGGAGCTAGGCTCCTCTCACAGTCCGCCCTGAAGACCGGTACGGTGCGGGAACACGGCGAGAGGAACGCGCGGAGCAAAGGTAAGTAAATTGACACAGGGGGGACTTGGCTTACTACTTGGGGGGGAATAGTACTATGGGGGATGAAATACTATATGAGGGATGAATTAATATGGGGGATGAATTAATATTGGGGATGAATTACTATGGGGGGATGAATTACTATAGGGGGGATTAATTACCATGCTTACTATGGGGGAATATTACTATACTTACAATAAATGGCATGGTAGTGGCTGGGCCGGCCAGCAGCTAGTCCGGCCCCCGGGTCCAATATATGAACCCATTGTGGCCCTCAAGTCAAAAAGTATGCCCACCCCTGCCTTAGACAGTCAAAGAATGAGGACTAAGGCTTCAGGGACTGGGCTAACAGTGTGGAGGAGAAGCCTGCAGAAACGGATGGTCAGGTATGTAAATCTGCTGTACAAAATCCCTAGACAGAAAAGAGAATTTAAAATCTAAAGTTCACCTTTTCCAGAAAAAAACCTGTGCAGTCAAGGGCAGAATGCACTAAAAATCTGTGCAGCTTTATAAAATGTTCATTTTACTGTCAAATGTGCAGGGCATAATCGGCCCAACCTAAAAGCCTGGCTGAAAAACTCCCAGTTTGCAATCTCCATGTCTTGCCTCATTTGCTTGGATGCAAAAAACCATTGGTTTGCATTTTTGCAATGCAGGAAGTGAGTGTCCAATGGTTTTCACACACTTATTATTATTATACAGTATTTATATAGCGCCAACAGTTCGCTCAGCGCTGTACATTACAATGGGAGACAATACATGAGACAGTACAATAACAATACAATGCGATGCGATGCGATAAACGAGGAGTTCGAAGGCCATGCTCCTTGGAGCTTACAATCTAGGAGAGAGTGGATAGTGGTACGGGAGGAAAAGCTGTGGGGGATGGAGTGGTAGGAAGAGTGGAGGAGATCACAATTAGCAGAGGGCGGGTAGGCTTCCCTGTAGAGGTGGGTTTTCAGGGTGCGCCTAAAGGAGAGGAGAGTAGGTGATAGTCTGATGGATTGGGGTAGGGAGTTCCAGAGGATGGGTGATGTCCTGGAGAAGTCCTGGAGGCGGGCATGGGAGGAGGAGACCAGGGAACTAGAGAGTAGGAGGTCTTGTGAGGAGCAACAAGGCAGATGTGAGGAATGCTAACTGGGAGTTTTTTTTAGCCAGGCTTCAGATGAAGCCCAAATGTTCTACATGTATGACAATAACACATTAACATTTTACAGTGCTGCACCGTTTTTTATCTACTGGGGCCACTTAACTGCATAGGCTATTTACTGGAAAGGTAACTCCAATGCAAGGGAGAATTTTTAGGCTTCCTGGAGGTTTAGGTTTTCCAGCTATAACCCTTCTATTCTTTTGCAGCTGACAAAAGTGTCATTTTAGCCGTTATTTAGATATGCAGTTGCTATGGTACAACACATCTAAGCTGACAAACACATTGGCAACTTTGACATTTATCATGAAGTGCATGCCTATGAACATGGCATATGCTGCGCTTGCACTAGTTAGTAGCAGAATGTATTAAAAAAAAAAAACCTCAAGACAACACTTATTAGTATACTCCATTTTCATATTAACTGAACACTTCTAACCTAAGCTTTCTTTTGGGAACAGTTCAAGCCAGGGTGGAAAAAAAAATTTGATGTTTTAAAGAAAAAATTAAGAAAAAGAACAAAAAAAAAAAAACCAAAACCAGATTTTGATTTTTACCAAATTTATTTTAATAAAAATGCTTTTGGAGTAAACATCTATCTAAAGATAGTTTTCTATTTAAGATACATTAATGATTTAGTTTATTCAGCATGAAATGGAGCTTAGACAAGTAGGATGAGGCTGTATATTCTGCATTACATTTTCAGAAAACTCATTCAATGAATCCAAGCTCTGCAAGGTGAGATAACATGAACTGCATTGATGCATTCGCACAATTTCACAGTAACCATGAGAAAAAGCACGAAAAGAATTTGGGAAGTTTAACTATGTGTGATTAACCTAAAATTGGTTATATCGCCTTTTTACGAACTTGACAGCTTATTATTCTAAAAAGGAAACCTTCATTTGGTTTGCAAATATTACAGATTCTAACTACCAGAAAGAATGAGTCAGATTCCTTATATTTAAAGAGCACCTGTCATTTTAGATCCATCATGGCAGCGCCTGTTAGCGGCTATCCACTCGCCTGCTGCCGCCACGTCCCTTACCTTGTTGTGTCACTGCCGCATCACCAGCCGTCTCATTAAAGTGAATGGGACGGTCGGCGACTAAACAGCAGGTCAGAGGAGGAGCTGCTGCAGGACAGAGATTACAGTTGCTCTTTAAAAAATTATTTAAATCAAGCCTTTTCTCTAGTGATTTAAATCAAATCCACCCTGGAAAAAGAAAAGTCACAACTGCACCTATGCTGGATTATGGATATTGAGTTAAATTATCATAGCTATGCAGCCATTGACACCTTTGATGCAAGAAAAAAAAAAAAAGGAAGGATTACCTGAGTAGACTTGTCACACATGCATGGAGCAGCCTGCCCGTGGTCCCTAGGCCACTGACCAGAGAGGTAAGGAGCAGCAAGAGTATCAAGTGAAGATGTGCGGCGAATTAAGCTGGAAGGACTTGTTGACGGTGGTTGTGGCTTATTGCCTTAAAAACAAAATATTTTAGACATGTTTAATTTTTTAGTGCACAATACAAACATTTTCAATACAATAAAACCTGAGAGTAAGGTTAACAACCACATACTTCTAACACACTTACAGATCCAGTCATATGCCTTGTTTAAACAAAACAGGCACACTACTTGTCTATTGAATCTAGGGATGGATTTTATTGCATAGGTACACTGGTCCAGCTTGGACCTATGCAAGTATGCATATGCCATACCTGAGGCATTGTTGTGAATCAGACTCACTTGTAGTATTTGCCACTACTACAGTGATTGTTACTGTCTTTCGTGAAAGCTTTGCATTTATTAAGAAAATGCAAGGCGTTCTGTGAAAGGCACCCATGAAGAGCAACCAAGCCCCTGTGGTTACTATGCAGTAGGGCAGCTGTTCCGTACATAACCTGAAGACAACAGCAATCACTGTAGTAGCAGTGACTACAACAATTCTCTGCTTCCACAAGTATGGCATATGTATGCGGACATTAGTCAAGGCTAGACTAATGTATCTATGGTCCAAAAACTATACCTGGAGTTCAGTGTTAAGTATTTTCGATACACCTATTAGGGGAAAAAAAAAAAAAAAAAAGACCTGTAGAATAAAATATTTTAAGTCACATAAAAAAAAAAAAAAACAAAAAAACACGTGTGCAAATATTCAGTAAAATACTCTAACATTTGGGGGCTCCACTGCCCTCAAGTTTCTCCTGTGAAACCAGAAGTGAGGGTAGTGAAGTTAGAGCAGTTTTGGGACGCGCGTACACTGTGTACAATCTTGTGATGTCCTCCCGGCCTGGCTAAACCAGTACACTGAAGACTGGCCAAAGAGGTCAGTGGCTGGAAAGTGAGCTCCAGGGCAACTGCAGTGCTGCAAGAGGCAAGTACAGTTCCACTTTAAGTCACCGGTCACACCGCTACGATTTAAAATCACGAGATTTGTATGCAATTTCAGCACGATCTCAGGACCGATTTCTACTTGTGAAGATTTTCAGTGATTTTTTGCAATTTCCATTATATTCCATGTATGTGAAATCGCAACAAAATTGCATAAATAGTAATGCAAGAACTACTTTAAAAATGGCGCTGCAGCAAACTGCACATGTAAAGACACTGACATTTACTAGATACGATTTCAGGTGCAATTTCAATTCCCAAATCACACCTGAAATTGCACAGGTATCACTGGGCACTAAGTGTTAATGGCTTTTTTACAATTGTTTTTTACTGGTTTCAAACCCTTATTTTTTCACTTAAAGTGAACTTGTGCCCAGACTATGCATGCTAAGTATTTAAAAATTCTGAAGTAAAATGGTTTTAAAACAAGCCCTTATTCATCACTGCATCTATAAGCATTGTAAAGAAATTAATTTTTAAAATTCACTCACAGAAATTCATATAGTGTGTCAAAAACATACTAGAATTATGCACTGCTTCCGCTTTACAAAATGTCAATGATATGGAAACAGGTATGTGAATTTCTTGCAGGGGGCATGATGTGGGGCCGGCACTTCTGGTACCGTCTATAGCAGACATGCTGTTCTCAGTTCAGATCTGTAATACTGGCACAGTGTTGCTCCTTGCCCAGACAAGTGCAGTGGCTGCAGAGTTGAACTATTTGGAAAGCAGAGCCAGATGGGGTTGCTGAGAGACTAGTCCCCAATCAGGGCTGCCTCCCTTGTGATTGACAGTGGACAGTAGAGAGATTCTCCTGTCATAGGGAGACAGCCCTTTGCTCCTGTCTCAACTGTACTAAAGCAATGTCACCCTGTAGCACAGGGTTGTGATGGAGACTGCAAGAGTCTAGTTTTAAATACACATTATGCAGGTACGTTCTGATATCACCATCAGAAAAACACAATACAGCCATCTCTGGAGTGCATGAGTAGACGGAGGGCAAATGCAAGAGATCAGCAGCACCAAGTTCTTTAGCTAGCTAAATGTCCATGTCATTTAAATGGTCTCTCAATCTTCAAGCACAACTCCAGGGAACCTGAAAATCCTCCCATGCACTTGCACTGCATGGGTTAACTGCTCATTCAAGTCTAGGGGATGGAAAAGTGCTTTAACAAAGTATCCTGGACCTAAAAGGAGCAGTGTACAGTTGCTCTGTGTGCAAGGAAACATAAGGTCAACCAGAGTTCAGCTTTAAATTGCTGTTTAGATCCTGTTAACTACAGAATTGGATTTAAAGACTACCACCACAACAAAAAAATCCTTTTTAAATCCCAAGAACCAAGCACATATAGCACTTGGCCCTGTTTGGATGTATGGCCCTGTTGAGGTTCAAAAGCACTTTCCCTTTTAAGAAAAAAAAAAAAAAATTTTGTGGAGAGGTCCATCTTGCCCGGTCAGCACCAATTGTGGCAGAATAAGTTGTACAGGTACTCCAAGATGCATCTCCAGGCAACCAAGGACACGGTGGAGGAAGCAATATAAACTATCCTGCCACAATCAGCGCTGACAGGGCTGAGCAATCTACCAGGTGTTAGTAAACACTTGGACTCCTCTGCTGACTGGATAAGCTTTGGATCTTTTTCTGCCACTTTCAGCATAGCGCATGCTTATTTGCTGCCAGTTGATCACAAATTCCTACCAGTACTGACTGTGGCAGAGGCACCCAGAACTTCCAGGCAAGAAAGTGTAGAAACCATACTAGAAAAGAAGGAGGGGGAGGAGCCAACTGCATAGATTAGGGGGGGGGGGGGGGGGGAAGACAGTGTGACTTGAGTAAAACAAGCATGATGGCGCTTATCTTCAGCATGTGCCCTCTACCAAAGAGGAGAGCGGTCAGTCCTAATTATCCATTTGTCTTCTTGTGAGCAATGAGGACAGACTGCAGTGATAGAGAGGGGCAAGCTGTCCAACCACACTGCTCATCAATCACACACCAAAATCAGAATGGAACGAATGGCTACATGCAATTGGTTAAATTATGATTTTGCATCTAAACTAAAAGCTGTAAAGCTAAAAAGGACCACACTGTTAAAACAGAACATGGTTGAATGGTTAAAGTTAATTTTGAAATGGTTTACTTTCCATTTTCAGTTACGGTTTATTAGTAGATCGTGTTTAACCCCGTGATGCCGACGTCACACAAATATGCGGCCTCACGGAACTGGGCTTTTTTCCATGGGGCCGCATATTTGCGTACCTGTCTTTGTGCTGGGAGCGCACTGCACTGCACATTCCCAGAACAAAGACGCGGTGTCACTGAGAGCCCCAGGTCCCATTCTAACAATCGGGACCCGAGACTCCGGATCACATGATCGCTGTGATAGCCTCTGATTCGCTATCACAGTGATCAGTCACTGTAAAGCCCGGCCCCCTGGTTTCTCTCTCTCTCTATGAATGGATAAGAGATACACTGTATTTCTCTAATGCCGGCCATAGACTGTTCGAAAATCGGCCGATTTTTCTTTTAAAAAAATGAAAAATTGGTCGTTCAAGCGGCCGACGTTACCAGCAACGATAAAAAAAAAACAAAAAAAAAAAAAAACGGCCGATTTTCACCCCGTCTACAGCTGTCAAAAAGTGTCCCTGCAGAGAGCTCCGTTATTTCTTTGACAGTTCCTTGACATTTATAGTGGTTGCAACATTGTATTTGTATCCATTTAGGATACAGATGTTTTTATTCGGAAACAAATAGATACATTGTTGCAACCGCTATAAATGTCAAGGAACTGTCAAAGAAATAGCGGAGCTCTCTGCATTGGGACACTTTTTGCCGGACTGGAATTCTTCAGCTTCTTCCTCCTCCTCATCTGCATCCTCATCCTACTCTTCTTCTTCATCCTCTTCTTCTTCATCCTCTTGCAGGTCATTGCTCATGCGCAAATTTTTTTATCGGTAAAAGATCGGCCGATTTGCCCATCATTGCCGCGAAAATCGGCCGATCGGCAAAATCGGCCAATTTTTTTTTTCCAACTTTACCGATTAAAAAAAAAAATTAAAAAAAAAAAATCGGCCAAAATACCAAAAAACAGCCGAACATTTAGCCCACTAACGATCCGAAAATCGGCCGATTTTATTTTCGGCCGAAAAACCGATTTTCGACCCATCTATGGCCTGCATAACTCCTGGCATAGAGAGAAAAAAAGTTTGTTAAAAAAAAATAAATAAATAATATATAAAAAAAAATAAAATAAAAAAGAAAGAAAAAATACCTAGATCAAGTTTTGATCTAGTTCAGTGCCAGGGTTATTGTTTGGGTCAGGGTAAGGGTCACAGGTCAGGATTAAAAAAAAATACCTTTATACCAGGTGTGATCACTTTTTTCACTAGAGATCCCAGAGAGGATCAATCCACTGATTTATTGGCATGTATATAAATTTATGTCACCTTGCACTAGATAGTTGATGGTAGATCTAAAAGGAGATTGTACAATCAGATTGCATGGTATATGACAGAAACCAGAACACAATTCTCCTGTTTTAATTACTACAGCTCTATCCACATAGCTGTAATCTGTTCACTCAGCACTCTGTGCCAAATGGATGATCATAAACGGTCTCCTGTTCAGCCTCCAAATGCTTCCTCCTCTGCCTTTTACAAGGATACTCTGTAGGGTATATTACTCACAATCCAAGTGAGTACAACCATGTGGCAGCATCAGACCATGGCTGCACAGGCTGAACAGGAGGAGGCTGAACAGGAGACCGTTTATGGTCCTTGGCTTTCTGGAGAGGTATTAGCCGGAGATATAAAGGATCCAGAGTGATCCTGAATGCTTGTTGGGCCCTTTTGGGTCACAGGAAGGAGGTGAGGAGGCACTGCAGCTGGAGTGGATTTAAAGTGTGCCGGCACATGCACTAAGTGTTCATGTTCAACACAATGCATGGTGTTTTATCACGTTTTATCAGCACTTGTTACTTTATGGACTTATTAGTACTTGCTTTAAAAGGTTTTTTGATTATTACCAAGGACACTTAACACCAGTTTATTACATTATATATTGTGTGTGTTTATCACTATTTTTAGGTCA